ATGTTCGCCCCAGGCGGGGGAACCTCGTCAACGTAGGTGCCTGTGGACTTCCAGGAAGCCATCTCTGTGTCCATAGCTGCCTGCCACTGAGAAGAGTAGGGACCCTCTATCGCCTCCGCGTAAGAGCGCGGAGTCGGGATGTCAAGTGCATCCGGGTCTCCCTCAGGGGTAAGCAGTACGGACACGAGATGAGGTGAAGCAGCAGCCAAACACTGGAACTCCTCCTGCCTGTCCTCAAGGAAGTCCGTGCCAAGGGCACACTCACCCCCGACGGACGGAGGACAGACAGACTCAGACTCAACGACAAGACTAGCAGCGTAGTCTAGACGACAGCGAGCAGCAAAGTCGACGAGCTCAGCAACTAGGGCAGACGCAGCAGTGGACTCAAAGGAAGGGTCAGTGACGACAGTAGCAAGGAGACGCGTGACAGTAGGACTGGCAGCACGAAGAGAGTCCGACTCCGGGTCGGGAAGAGCAGGAAGAGAGGACTCAGGAGGAGAAGGCAAAGGGGCACGCAGAGGAGCAGTGGACGGACGCAGAGACATCCGGTGCGTGCCAGGGATAGGAGGAGGACGCTGACGCGAACCACGACCACTAGAGTGAGCAGGACGGACAGGCGACGCAGGGCGAGACGCAGGCTCACGACGCTCAGCCAGACCTCCAGTAGGACCAGTGTAGGGAGAAGGAGCGGGCAGTGGGGAGGCCGGCTGTAACTGTAACTGTGACGGGACAGGCTGTGGACACTCTAAGGGAGGAGGAGGACCAGTAGAAGGCGGGAGACCAAGAACCTGCTGAAGGAGCGGAACGAAGTACGGCCGAGGCCGCGCGGCGACTCCAGACACGGCAGGGACAGCACCAGTACCCCCAGCGGCAGCACCAGCGCCAGCAGCACCTCCAGCTCCAGTACCTCCAGCAGCACCAGTAGCACCCCCAGCAGGACCGCCTCCAGGACCGACAGCAGTAGCCTCAGCGTCAACACCCTCAGCAGCTCCAGCTCCAGTCGTACCCGCAGGCCCAGCAGCTCCAGTACTCCCAGTACGAGCACCTCCGGGACCCGCGGCACCAGCACCCTCAGCAGCCGAAGAACCTCCAGCTCCAGCAGCACGCCTCCAGCGCCGGGCAAACCACTCGCGCAGCTCCTGTGGAGAGAGTGGCTCCCGCCGAGACGAAGCACCCGGAGAACCTCCAGGCTCAGCACCGCCAGACGCCACACGAGCAGGCCCAGCTCCCTCAGGCTCCGCACCCCCAGGCTCAGCACCTCCAGGCGTAGCACCCCCAGGCTCAGCACCCCCAGGCTCAGCACCCCCAGGCTCAGCACCCCCAGGCTCAGCACCCCCAGGCTCAGCACCCCCAGGCTCAGCACCCCCAGGAGTAGCACCCTCAGGCTCAGCACCCCCAGGCGTAGCACCCACACGCTCAGCACCCCCAGAGTCAGCACCCCCAGGCTCAGCACCCTCAGCAGCACCAGAGTCACCAGTAACCTCGACAGGCTCGACGGCGTCTACCTGGGACACACCTGAAGGGGCAGGACCCTGAGGGGGGAGGGGGTCTTGTCAAAGTTATATTTAAGATATATCCTGCTTGCTGTAGTTACTGTAGTTATAGTTCTTTGCTGTTGGTGGTGCACCTCTTGTTTGTGTTTCTCGACTATATCTTGTATGCTTTGCTTTAGTGAAGCTAACTTGTTTGGTCAATTTCTCTCGACACTCCCTTGGCCTTGACCTCGACAATAGCTTGGCCTAGGCTACTAAGCCTAGGCCCTCCTTAAACCCGGTTACCCGCTTCGATAGTGTTTTGACATGGTATAGAGCGATTAAAATCCTGACCTAAGTTAATGGGCCCACCCATTCGCGGCACGGCGCTCGCTGCGACGGGCGCGGCGGCGAGCTGGCCGCGTTTCCCTCGTTGCCAGCCCGTCGTTTTTTTTTCCCTCGTCGCCTGCCCGTCGCCAGCCTGTCGCGTTTTCCCCCGTCGCCAGCCAGTCGCGTCCCCCCCGTCGCCAGCCCGTCGCGTTTCCCTCGTCGTCAGCCCGTCGCTTTTCCCCCCCGTCACCACCTCTGCCCGCGCCTACGCCTGCAGCCGAGTTTGCGCGAGAGTGGGGAAAAGGGGGGGGGGGCGGCATCGAGAATGAAGGGGACGGCGTCCGTGGCGGACGTCGCGGCCCTTCCTCCCCCCGTCCATTTTTCTTCCCTCCCGTCGCCTCGCTCCGCCCGTCGCACTCCCCCGGCCCCCTGCCCGTCACCCACCCCGACGCGACTGTTCGCGTGTGCAGCGGCGGTCGCTGTGGGTGGGAGAGGGAGGAGGGGAAGGGATTGGTGGCGGAACTCTGTGGGGGGGAGTGGGAAAGGGGGAAGGGAGTGGCGGCGGAATGCTGTGGGGGAGAGAGAGGAAAAGGGGGAAGGGAGTGGCGGCGGAACACCAGCGATCACCGCCAGCACCAGCACCAGCTCCAGGGCCAGCCGCCAGCACCAGCACCAGCACCAGGGCCAGCCGCCAGCACCAGCACCAGCTCCAGGGCCAGCCGCCAGCACCAGCACCAGCTCCAGGGCCAGCCGCCAGCACCAGCACCAGCTCCAGGGCTAGCCGCCAGCACCAGCACCAGCTCCAGGGCCAGCCGCCAGCACCAGCACCAGCACCAGGGCCAGCCGCCAGCACCAGCACCAGCTCCAGGGCCAGCCGCCAGCACCAGCACCAGCACCAGGGCCAGCCGCCAGCACCAGCACCAGCTCCAGGGCCAGCCGCCAGCACCAGCACCAGCTCCAGGGCCAGCCGCCAGCACCAGCACCAGCTCCAGGGCCAGCCGCCAGCAGAGAACCCCACCAGCAGAGAACCCCACCAGCAGAGAACCCCGCCAGCAGAGAACCCCGCCAGCAGATAACCCCGCCAGCAGAGAACCCCGCCAGCAGAGAACCCCGCCAGCAGAGAACCCCGCCAGCAGAGAACCCCGCCAGCAGAGAACCCCGCCAGCAGAGAACCCCGCCAGCAGAGAACCCCGCCAGCAGAGAACCCCGCCAGCAGAGCACCACCCTCTGCCCTGCCTCTCCCCTCCCGCGGCTGCTACTGTGGGGGGTAGGTGGCGGGAGCGGGGGGGTGGGAGGGCTGGCTGCAGTGTGAAGGACAGGGCAGAGACAACTGTGGGTTGGGCAGGGGTGTGGAGGAAGGAAGGGAGGGAGGGGGTGCGGTTCCAGGGGGTGGCTGAAATGCGGGGTGAGGTTGAAGGACGGTGGTTGATTGGGGGTGCGGATGTGGGGGTTAGTAAGAGGGGACGTTGCGGCCACCCCCCCACCTCCTCTCCTCATCCCCCACTCAACCCCCCTTTCGTAAAAGGGGGTTAGTAAGAGGGGACGCCGCGGCCACCCCCCCACCTCCTCTCCTCATCACTCACTCACCTCCTCCTGTGTCCTCATCTCCTCTCCTCTCCTCTCTCCCTCTCGCCGCCTCCCCTCACGTACCCCTCTGCCGTCTCCCATTGCGCCAGCTATACCCCTTCAGGGGGTGTTGACTACTCTAGTTCCTACTGCAAGCAGGCTAAGGGGGTGTGTCAAAGTTATATTTAAGATATATCCTGCTTGCTGTAGTTACTGTAGTTATAGTTCTTTGCTGTTGGTGGTGCACCTCTTGTTTGTGTTTCTCGACTATATCTTGTATGCTTTGCTTTAGTGAAGCTAACTTGTTTGGTCAATTTCTCTCGACACTCCCTTGGCCTTGACCTCGACAATAGCTTGGCCTAGGCTACTAAGCCTAGGCCCTCCTTAAACCCGGTTACCCGCTTCGATAGTGTTTTGACAGGTCTACCGGGGGGGGACCTGGCACAAGGAAGAACGGTGGCGGGGGGAGGGACGGAGTGCGGTAGGGGAAGAGGCGGTAGTAGGGGACCGACTCGTCAAACGTGACGTCCTGGGAGGACAGAACACGGCGAGAGGTGGGGTGGTAGAACTGCCACCCTGGCGCGTCAGGGGGGAAGCCAAGGAAGACGCAAGGAGCAGCACGAGGGGACAGCTTGTCCGCAGACAAGTCGCGGACAAACGCCCGAGATCCCCAGACACGGAACGCAGACGCATCGCCAACCTTCCCCGTCCACAGCAAAGCTGGGGAGGTCTCCGGCATGGAGACCCTGGGGTGAAGGTTGATCTGATGCGCCGCGTACCGAACCGCAAACGGCCACAGAAAATGGGGGGCAGCCGCATGCATCATGGACGTACGGGCGACGTCCATGACCATGCCAATGCGGCGCTCAGCAATCCCATTTTGCTGTGGAGAGTCCGGAAGCGTGAAGGTCTGGCGGATGCCTCGTGTACGACAGTAGGCTCGCAGAAGGCCAGAGGAGAACTCTCCACCTCTGTCAGAGTGCAGACGCAGAACAGGAAAGTCCGAGCCGAAGCTCTGCCTGAGCTGGAGACGAGCTGCACGGATCCAGTCGATCAACACCTCAGTGACATCACCCTTGCTGCGCAAGGGGAAGACTGTGGTGTAACGCGAGTAGTCGTCAACCACCAGCAGGAAGTAGCGCTCGTGACCCTGTCCACGGACGCGGGCCGGGCCCCACACGTCCATGTGAAGCGTCTGCAGCGGGGCCTCTGTCTGAGGAAACTGGGAGGAGTGAGGGGCAGCCCGCTGCCGCCCCTTGACACAGGGGACGCAGGTAGGGCCAGGCCCCGGAGGAAGGGGAGGGAGGGACCGGGGAAGACCAGAGACAAGGACACGGGAGGCCATCCCTCGGAGACGAAGCAGGGAGGGGTGACCAAGGCGGTGGTGCCAGAGGAGAGTCTCGTGAGACAGAAGGCGACACGAACAGGGGGCACAGTGGAAGGTCTTTGACTGAGAATGGGGATAGAACTACCTCTAGCTATCATGATTCATGATGCTTCTGAGGTCTGAGATTTCCCAGAAGCATCAGGAGGTCTTAGACTGAGAATGAGGGGGCAAATATGCCTCTATTTAGCATCAAGGACCAGGCCAGACACATAACCCTACACATGGACGTAACCAACCAATGGGGTTCACAGTGGATCAGTCACATACGGGGGGGAGGAAGGCGCGGGGAGAATGCCTCCGAAGGCGAATATGGCAGCAAACACTGTTGCAGCAATCCCAATGCCAATCTGGACACGCCAGGGTGGTGGGGGAGGGTAAACCGATGGATGCAGCGGAAAAAATGATTGGTATGAGAGGGGAGCGGTTGCGGGGAGAATGTCTTCGAAGGTGAATATGGCAGCAAACACCGTGGCAGCAATGCCAATGCCAATCTGCCACATACACATGGGAGGGGGACAGAGGGGGGAGAGTCAGAGTAAGATCGCTTGCCACTTAAGCTGTGTCCCTTCACCCATTTCGACACAAGCACACCTCAACCAGGTCAGGTGGTCCCTCCTTGGTGAACAACAGGTGAACAACAGGTGAACAACAGCAGCAGTGTCCACCAGTGGCTTGGCTCTGACTGCACTGCGATGAGTTCGGTGAGCAACGCCAAGAATGATGGCCCGTGCTTGCTCACCCCCAACGCTTGCTTCCCTTGCTTTGTGCCGCTGCAGCACAGCAGCACGCCTCACCTTAGTGGGCAGGTCTTCGATGAGGGCAGCGGTGTCCACCAGCAGCTCTGTCTGCGGGTTGTCATAGTCTATGGCTGCTGTGCTGCTCACCTGTCCCTGATGCTCCTGAGCCCCTGCAGTGCATGCATCCTCTGACCATGCCACAGCACCACAGCGCCTCTGACCATGCATCCTCTGACCATGCTGCTCACCTGTCCTCTGACCATGCCACTGCACCACAGCACGCCTCACCTTAGTGGGGAGGTCCTTGGTGAGAGCAGCCGTGTCAACCAGCGGATCTGTCTGTGGGTTGTCGTAGTCTATGGCTGCTGTGCTGCTCCTCTGTCCCTGCTGCTCCCTTGCTGCTGCTTCCCTGCCTCTCAGAGTGCCTTTTCTGCCCCTGAGACTGCATGCATGCATCCTCCGCCCCTGCCACTGCAGCAGCACAGCGCGCCTCACCTTAGTGGGGAGGTCCTTGGTGAGAGCAGCAGTATCCACCAGCGGCTCTGTCTGCGGGTTGTCGTAGTCTATGGCTGCTGTGCTTTGCACCACTTTTGCCCGCTTCTTCTCCTCCGCTTGCCTGCAAACAGGGCGAGAAGTGGAGGCAAGCAAGGGCATCATGTGGCATGGAGTGTGTGTGTGTGTGTGTGTGTGTGTGTGTGTGTGTGTGTGAGTGTGTGTGTGTGTGTGTGTGTTCAGTCATGTCATGCATGTGGCTACGGGTTGTCATAGTCTATGGCTGCTGTGCTTTGCACCGCTGCTGCCCTCTTCTTATCTTCCACTTGCCTGAGAGCAGGAAGGGCAAAGACAAGGCAGGAGTGGCGAGGAGGGGAGTGGCAGGGGGAGAGAGGCCAAGGCAAAGAGTCTGGCTGGGGGAAAGAGGCAGGGAGAGTGGACAAAGGTGCCTCTAAGAGAGGCCAGAGCGGCCTGCATCCTCACAAACCCTCAAGTTAACACACGCACAAGCCCCCTTTCGTCCCTCGGAATCCTGTCTCTTCCCCTCCTCCCACAGTTTCTCCTCCCACGGTTACTCATCAACTCAACGCGTCACTTCCCTCAGGCGCTCTGCAACGAGGCAGGCAGGCATCGTCTGAGGTGAGGCAACACCTTTCTCATCCCATTCTGGGAGAAAGTTAGTTTTTGAAACGTTTCAAAAACAAAATTCCCTCAGGCGCTCTGCAACAGGGCAGGCATCGTCTGAGGCAACTCCCTTCCCACTCTTGGGCAACATGGGGGGCCGGAGCACCAATTTCCCCAAGAGCCATGATGACCCACCCCTCCCACACCCTTCAGACCCCACCATTCCTCCCAACACCCGCCCCTCGACACACTCTTCCCCCACCCCACCCATCTGCTCACCGGCGCACTTCCCTCAGGCGCTCCTCAAAGAGCCGGTCATCATCCGAGGTAGCACGGGAGGGCGCCCTGTGAGAACGGCTTTCCATACGACCTGCCCATCTCACACTCCTCCCCCACACACCCTTTTCCCCCACCCCACTCATCTGCTCACCGGCGCACTTCCCTCAGGCGCTCCTCAAAGAGACGGTCATCATCCGAGGCAGCACGGGAGGGCGCCCTGTGAGAATGGCTTTCCATACGACCCGCCCATCTCACACTCCTCCCCCACACACCCTTTTCCCCCACCCCACTCATCTGCTCACCGGCGCACTTCCCTCAGGCGCTCCTCAAAGAGCCGGTCATCATCCGAGGCAGCACGGGAGGGCGCCCTGTGAGAACGGCTTTCCATACGACCCGCCCATCTCACACTCCTCCCCCACACACCCTTTTCCCCCACCCCACTCATCTGCTCACCGGCGCACTTCCCTCAGGCGCTCCTCAAAGAGCCGGTCATCATCCGAGGCAGCACGGGAGGGCGCCCTGTGAGAATGGCTCTCCATACGACCCGCCCATCTCACACTCCTCCCCCACACACCCTTTTCCCCCACCCCACTCATCTGCTCACCGGCGCACTTCTCTCAGGCGCTCCTCAAACAGCCGGTCGTCGTCTGAGGCAGCACGCGAGGGCCTCTGAGACGCCTCTTGCGCCGCCGACACATCGGGCGCCCACTCTGGCAGTGCAGGAATGGCACAGCATGGCATGGCACAGGGAAACTGCAATGGGTTGGTCAGCTTGCTTTTTGAAACTTTGCAGCAGGAGTTACCGTTTTCTTACAAGGGTTCGCTTCGACTGGAGGTTACCGTTTTCTTACAAGGGAAATTTTCATTGTGATTAGGTGGGCTGGAGGTTACCGTTTTCATTGACGCCTGGAATGGCCGCATCTTGCTTGGGGGGCCCACTGCCTTTGTTGGGACTCGGCTTCTGAAGACGCATCGTGGAATGACACGTGGGGCGAACATAAGATGATAGGATGCTTGAGACGTCTCAAGATTTGCTCGGACATTGAAGGAATATATTAGAGAGCGTAGCGATAGCGAGAGAGTCTCTGCTATGGGAATGATGTTGCGCCAGCAACTTGGTAGAGTTTTGGTAGCGTTTGCCTCTAAGGACTTTGTGAGAATTGAAGTAGCATTTGGGCCAAGTAGAATTGCAATATCAATTATCAAACACACAAGCAAACACAAACATATATAGGCAAGCAAGAGTTGCACAATTGTTGCGTGGCGCTGCGAGTAACCCAACCCACACGAAAGTGCTGTGCAGGTGGGTGAACGCGCCCCGCACATTTCCAACCCAACTCGGCACCGGAATGTCTCACCGTGCACGCTACTCCTGCCAACACAGCAAGTGAGCAGCGTGCCTCACAAGCAAGGCACCTACGACCCCCAAGACTCGTCATTCCTAGCACCGATTCCGCCGAGTTCGCTGCAGTAGCTCACAGTCACCCGTAGTCACTAATGACCGCCACCGAACTCGTGCGTCGGTGCCGAGTAGACTCAGTCGTTAGGCGCCGACCTGCCAAGTCAAAGGTCATCGAGGGCCCTTGCTGTCGTAGGGCCCTCTAACACTCCCCTGCCATACTACAGCAAGGCCCTTTATAATCACAGGGCATGCATACACACATACACACCAAAACAAAGGGATACACACAAACGAAACACGCTCAAAGTGTAAACACGCACCGCACCAGCCATGGATAGGCCATGGCACCATCCACATCATGGAGTGTCTAGGTCTTCACTCCCCTCACTCGAGAGCCGCACCTGCCCCACAGCCTCGAAGCAACGACTGAAGGCGGGGAAATGCAATGCCTTTGTGAGGTAGTCAGCAGGCTGCTCGCTCGTAGGGATGTACTGCAGCTGCAGCTTCCTGCGCTTGACCATGTGCTGCAGCCACATGTGACGACGCTCCATGTGCTTGAGGCTCCCCTTGAGCCCCATGCCACCTGCCACTGAAATGGCGGAGGAGTTGTCCACAAAGAGAGTCGTGGGCTCCTCACTCCTCAGCAGTTGAAACTCTGCCAGCAGGAAGCGCAGCCTGCGCGCCTCCTTCCCAGCCTCCACAGCAGCAACGTACTCAGACTCAGTGGAGGAAAGGGTGGCGCAACGAATCCGCTGGCTCGCCCATGAGACAGCAGCACCCCCGAGCACGAAGACATAGCCACCTGTGCTGGTCCTGTTCTGCTTGTCCCCTGCATCATCAGCATCGGCGTAGCCCACCAGCTCCAAGGACTCCGGCCCACCACCAAACTCCAGCGCCACATCCCTGCTCCCCACCAAGTACGTCAAGCACCGGTCCAACTCCTTCCAGTGCTGATCACTCCGCACAGTCTGGCCCGACCCCAGCTTGCTGCAGGCGAACGAGATGTCGGGACGGGTGGTACAGGCCGCGAACTGCAAGGATCCCACCTTCTGCCTGTACTCCTCCTCCTGGCGAGACTGCCATCCCACATCCTCGAAGGTCTGCACACTGAAAGGGTCAGAGGAAAGAGGGGTGCGAGGCACTCGCAGCGGCTGCTCCCCGTCAAAGAAGCGCCTATGGACCTTGTCCACATAGGCCCCCTGGTGCAGCCACAGCCTCCTCGTGGGCCTGTCCCGAATCAGCTGCAACCCCAGATATTTCTCCACAGGGCTAATCTCCCGCAGCTGAAAGGCACTCTGCAGCAGGTCACGCAGCTCCGCTAGCATGCTCTGACTGCGGCTGGCAGCAAGCAGGTCATCCACATACACCAGCAGCCAGCACATCTCCCCCTCAGCATCAGTCTTGAAGTACAGAGCCTCATCCACCTTGCTCTTCTTCCATCCAGCCCCAAGCAGCACCCCATCCGAGGCCTCATACCATAGCATCGGGCTCTGCTTGAGCCCATACAGACTCTTCACCAACTTACAGACACGAGGAGTCCCATCCTCGTAGTAGCTCGGCTGCTCCATGTAAAGGTCTCGGTCCAGCACGCCATGGAGGAACGCGTTCTTCACATCGAGCTGCATCAGGTCCAAATCAAGTGCAGCTGCAATCGCCAGAAGCACACGCGCCGTCACATAGCTTCCCACAGGGGCGTACGTCTCCTCATAGTCCACCCCTGCCACCTGCGTGAACCCCTTCACCACCAGCCTCGCCTTCATCACATTCACCCCTGGCGGACGCGGAACCAACTCCCACGTCCCCTGCTCAATCAAGCTCCGCATCTCCTCATCCATCGCCTCCTTCACCTTGTCTCCCTTCCAGCAGCCCAAGGCCTCCTTCACTGTCATTTTCGCTATGTCCCACTGCCTCTTAGGATCAGCTGCCACGTCCGGGTCCAGGTTAGTCCACTCCTCGTCCTCCTCCTCGTCATCCAAGCCCGCTGGCTCAACCACTACAGCCCAAGCGTATCGAACAGGCGGGACACCACGAGTGATGCGAGTGGAGCGACGCAGTGGTGCAGTGGTCGTCCCAGAAACCAACACACGACCACCATCTCTAATTCCCCACATCTCCTGCTCCCCTGTCTGCTGCTCCCCAATCTGCTGCTCCCCTGTCTGCTGCTCCCCTATCTCCTGCCCCCCACTCTGCTGTACTCCATCCATCTATGAATCGCTTTAGCTGAGCGATCTCAAGCTGCGGCTCGATTGATTCTGTCCACGTCGACAGGTCGTGACGTCCTTCTAGCGGCCTAGTGACAACGATCTTGTCTGGAGTGAATCTGAAGTAGCCATAGTTGGGGGCTATTCCCTCGTCCCTCGACATCGATCCAATCGGGGTAACGCCCGGCATAGCCTCACTATCGAACTCTTCCGCAATTCCTCCTCCAGCAACGCTCCGCCGTCCTACATTCGCATGCTCTCGTGACGCTGCTGCACGATGAACACGCTCCTGTACACCGCCAACGCTAGCCGTACTAAACCGAGTTGGTCCTCGCAGGACCCCACGCGACATCAACCCATCAAACTCCTCGTCATCGCTATTTCCGCCATCGACAGCCATATCCCACGCACTAGTACCTCCCGCAACTTGCTCAACATTCTCTACACGTGGCGAAGGGTGCTCACGACGCCGACGCGAGCACAATCCCTCCAACATTAGCTCGTATTCGATATCACTAATCTCACCACGAGAATGACGAGCCACGAGATCCTCCTCTAGGGCGCGCAAATTACCGGCCTCCACGTTCGCCTCCTCTGTACTCATCCTCTACGACGTCTCTATAAGGTACCACAAATTAAAATAAAGTGCCCCTTCCTTAAATCCCTCGTCTCGGGGTCACCTCACAAGGGTCCTCAGACGAGTGGTAATAAATTACCAAACGCCCTATCCTTGGGTCCGAGAACGTAACTGGAGGGAAATCAAGAGAGGTTCAACTTAGATTAATAAGCGCCCTTCACTAACGCCGCACGCCAAGGCGAGTATACGAACACGAATATCAACGACGACGGAAATCTATGCGTGTTCGTTCCACGCTCACCGCACCATGAAGGAATACATTAGAGAGCGTAGCGATAGCGAGAGAGTCTCTGCTATGGGAATGATGTTGCGCCAGCAACTTGGTAGAGTTTTGGTAGCGTTTGCCTCTAAGGACTTTGTGAGAATTGAAGTAGCATTTGGGCCAAGTAGAATTGCAATATCAATTATCAAACACACAAGCAAACACAAACATATATAGGCAAGCAAGAGTTGCACAATTGTTGCGTGGCGCTGCGAGTAACCCAACCCACACGAAAGTGCTGTGCAGGTGGGTGAACGCGCCCCGCACATTTCCAACCCAACTCGGCACCGGAATGTCTCACCGTGCACGCTACTCCTGCCAACACAGCAAGTGAGCAGCGTGCCTCACAAGCAAGGCACCTACGACCCCCAAGACTCGTCATTCCTAGCACCGATTCCGCCGAGTTCGCTGCAGTAGCTCACAGTCACCCGTAGTCACTAATGACCGCCACCGAACTCGTGCGTCGGTGCCGAGTAGACTCAGTCGTTAGGCGCCGACCTGCCAAGTCAAAGGTCATCGAGGGCCCTTGCTGTCGTAGGGCCCTCTAACAGACATGGCTTCTGAAGATGCACCTTGGAATGGCACGTGGGTGAAAACGAGATAATATGCTGCGTGAGGAGTCAAGATACCGCATGCGAGATGCTGTGTTGGGGTATGTGTGGTGCCACATTAGGGTATGTGCAATGGCACATGTGAGGGTTCCATGATTTGAATGCGAGAGGCCATGCGATGCGACTGTCAGAACATATATATAGCTTATGCTGTTGTGTAGGCTATAGTGGGGTATCCCATAGGGGGTACAACCCAATTAGGGTTTCCCATATGTACTCACTTCATTCATATTTCATTCATCCTCGTTCTACTTTTCTCATGGTATCAGAGCCAAGGACACGGGAAGCCATGCCCCGAAGACGAAGCAAGGAGGGGTGGCCAAGACGGTGGTGCCACAGGAGAGTCTCGTGAGACAGGCGGCGACACGAGCAGGGGGCAGACTCAGGACCAGACCTGGACGCAGCAGCAAACACCTGACCCGACGCAGCTACCTGGCCAGACGCAGGGACAGGAGGAGACGCAGTGGTCAGTGTGTAGAGACTCGACCCTGGCCGACGCGAGAACGTGGCCAGGTGTCGGCCTGTGCGGGCATCCGAGCAGTGGGTCACCCGCTGACTCGCAGGAGTAAACTGGTGAACCCCCGCATCCTGCAAGTCAGCACCACTCACCAAGTTCGTCGAGAACGAGGGGAGGTACAGACCAGACAAGGTGCCCGAGGGGGCAGCCGGACACGGGAGGACAGTGGAGAAGTGAGAGAGGACAGGACCCCCAGAGGGGTCAGCCAGGGAGACTGCAACCGGCCGGCCAAGCGGCGTGAGTGTGGTGCGGTCTCGAAAGAAGGAGCGAGAAGCCCCTGAGTCAAGTGTGAAGGTGAGGGAGGCCGAAGCCGACGCAGTACCTGAGAGCGCAGCCTCACCAGTACCTGAGAGTGCAGACGCACTGGCACCTAGAGCAGCAGCCGCAGAAGTACCTGGCGCAGCAGTACCAATGCCCGGGTCGGGCGGGAAACACTGGTAACAGTCACCCTCCTCACTAATAGTCACAGCATACATGGCAGCAAGGATAGCATCAAAGTCAAGATCAAAGACAGCTACGCCAGCCCTAGACAGCTCTCCCCAACGGGGAATCTCACTGGCCTCGGGGAACTGCTGACGCCAAGCGTCCGTCAGGCGGGCAAAGCAGCGCTGAGTGGGGTGCGCACCCCCACACTGCTCACCCGCTCGGTCACCGGAACGAAGGACGTAGGTGCATGGACCAAAACCCCCACCCCGCTGACGCTGCGTGTACCACTCACGGAGCTGCTGGGGCGGGGGGATGTCCCGCGAACGCTGCTGCTGCTGCTGCTGCTGCTGACGCTGGCCACCACCAGGGCCGCTACGCTGCGGGGCACCACCCCGACCAGCTCCACCCCCTCCGCCACCGCTGCCTCCACCTCCACCACCACCGCTGCCTCCGCTCCCACCGCTGCCGCCACCGACGCCTCCTCCTCCGCTGCTGCCACCTCCACCACCGCCCCCGCCACCACTCCCACCGCCACCCCCACTCCCTCCTCCGCCTCCACCGCCTCCTCCACCGCCCCCGCCAGCTCCACCCGCGCCCTTGCCCCCCTTGCCCCTGCCAGGGCGGCGTCTCCCGCTAGGGGCAGACGCCGCGCAGACCGACTCAAGACCAAGCAGGTCGGCAGCAGCAGCAGAGGCAACAGAGGGCAGCAGGGGGGAAGGAGAACACCCCTCAAAGATGGGGGTGCGAGGGTCACCACGAGAGGCTCCTACAGCGACGATGCTCTTCTCCGCCGCCAGGAGGGACTTCTCGAGGAGGTCGACAGTGAGAGTGGTGGGACAGACCGAGAGGTAGTGGTCCCTGACTACGCGAAGGGAGTCAGGGAGGCGTGTGACGATGTAATAGAGAGTGATGTACATGGGGGGGGGGTTCTTGGCGCAGAACTCAGCAGGAAGGGCGGCGCGGTAGCGAGTGTCACTAGTGCGGAGGTGCGTAATGAGGTCAGCGACAGTGGGAAAGGCAGCAAGGTCAGGAAAGAGGTACGGTAGCATGAGGCGGCTCAGGGCAGCAGTGGCAGGGGAAGAGTAGCGCGCAACTACAGCGTCGTACAAGGTCTGAGCACTCTTGTACTGACTAAAGTGCGCGCGCTCAGTGGTAGGCAGGTGGCGACGCACAGCAAGACGTGCAGCAGCATCGCGGGTGGCCCACTGAGAGCGAACAGTGGGGTCAGCATCAGTAGCAGGGGCAGGAGAGGCGCCAGAGGTGAGGTCAAAGAGGGAAAGACCGTCCGCCCTATCGCACTGTAAGAACAGCTGCAGGTCGTCGACCCAGACCTCAAAGTCAATGGCTCGACCCTCAGCGTCAAAAGCGAGGACGCTAGGGGTAGCCATGACGACGACAGACGAGCAGTGCAAGCAGTAGGGGAAGGGCACGCAGTGACAGTGGGGCTGTGCTCACCGGACAGGGCAGGTCGGGCGGCCCGGCAGTAGGGCGGCTCGGCTGCTCAGCGGCTCGGCGGCAGTGCGGCTCGGCGCCCGGGCGGCTCGGCGGCAGGGCGGCTCGGCTCCCGGGCGGCTCGGCGGCAGGGCGGCTCGGCTCCCGGGCGACTCGGCGGCAGGGCGGCTCGGCTCCCGGGCGGCTCGGCGGCAGGGCGGCTCGGCTTCCGGCGGTTCAGCTGCTAGGCGGCTCCCGCAGGTAGGGCGGCGGTTGGGCCGCAGGTAGGGCGGGGGTCGGGCCGTAGGTAGGGGGGCGGTAGGGCCGCAAGTAGGGCGGCGGGCAGGCCGCAGTTAGGGCGGCGGGCGAGCCGTAGGTAGGGCGGCGAGTAGGCCGCAGGTAGGGCGGCGTGGGGCCGGGACGGGCGGCGCGCGGGCGTCGAGGGGCCGGGACGGGCGGCGCGCGGGCGTCGAGGGGCCGGGACGGGCGGCGCGCGGGCGTCTAGGGGTCGGTCCGGGTGGCGCGCGGGCGTCTAGGGGCCGGGACGGGCGGCGCGTGGGCGTCGAGGGGCCGGGACGGGCGGCGCGCGGGCGTCTAGGGGCCGGGACGGGCGGCGCGCGGGCGTCTAGGGGCCGGGACGGGCGGCTCACGGGCGGCGAGGGGCCGGGACGGGCGGCGCGCGGGCGTCGAGGGGCCGGGACGGGCGGCGCGCGGGCGTCGAGGGGCCGGGACTGGCGGCGCGCGGGCGTCTAGGGGCCGGGACGGGCGGCGCGCGGGCGTCTAGGGGCCGGGACGGGCGGCGCGCGGGCGTCTAGGGGCCGGGCCGGGCGGCGCACTGGCGTCTAGGGGCCGGGACGGGCGGTACGCGGGCGTCTAAGGGGCCGGGACGGGCGGCTAAAGGGGCCACTAGGGGCCAAGAGAGAGGGGAGCGCGACTCGGGTAGGGGCAGAGTGCGCTCCGGGCAGGAAAAAAAACGGTGGGCCCTAAGAACAGTTCCCACGAGGGAAAAAAGCGACAGCACTGCACAAGCAAGTAGCACAGCACATGGCAGCTCGAATTGCGCGCCATGGGATGCCGTGACGCTGCACATGATGGCATGGCATACAATGTCCGTGCATGTCATCACTGCATGATCATCAGCGCATGGTCAGTCATGCATGGTCATTGGTGCATGATCCGTAATGCATGGCCATCAGCGCATCATGAGTAATGCATGAACGGTCATCAGTGTCTGATCAGTATTGCATGAACGGTCATCAACAGCAGGCCCACGAAAATGGCATGCCTGCATCCCCCTGAACCTTGAATACATCCTAATCTAAAGCTTTCCAACAATGCGTTGAGCACATTCAACATAGAGGAAGCTTTAGAGATTGAAGTCGCTTCTGAGAATCTCAGAAGCGACGCGTCGCATCGCACCCGGCTCTTGCCGTCGTCCGCTTTGCCGAATCCCTTCGCCCCGCCTGTGGCTGCCGTCACCAGCAATGCTCTCCTTCGCCCGAGTCCACTCTCCAATCGCCCGGTCCTCGCGAATGAAATGCTGCGAATCCCAGCTGGCGCTCGTTGAATTAGCGACGACGACGCTGATTGCAGGGAGTTAGCTCCCGCAAGCATGGCTGACGAGCTGCAGGAAGCGGCTAAGGACTGCATTGCTGAACCTACTCGAGAGGCCTCCGAGAGCCAACACTAGCAGAAGGAGCTAGCAGTGTGCGATTATCTGGGAGCTTCGCGGAGCTGTACCTATTAGCATGGCTGTCTGTACTCATGCAGGCGGTTACTGCACTTGACACAGCAGCAGCATCGTGGCATGGAATCTGCTGTGCTCTTCTGGGCATTGCTGTGCTGCAGATCTTGTGCAAGATATGGGCACCTCATGTTTTGTGTCAGCCCTGCCATGGTGCGCGTGCCACCCCCTGTTCTCTGAATCCTCACCAGATGCTTGCGACTGCACCGCATGCAGCAAGCATGTGCGCTCACCGTTGTCACTCATGCGTTAAAGGATTTTTGTCTCCCTCCTCGCCCCCATCTCTTGTACCCCATCGGCGTGCACATGCCTCTCCTGCCAGCAGCATCTCACTCTCACTCACGGCCGTGAACGAGTGCTTGGTGTGACGCAGCCAGGCCCTCCTCATCATGCCATGGCACGGCACAGCACCTGCAGGAGGACACTCCGTCCTGCTTGGGTGTTTGTGCCCAGACGTCTTCCAGGCTGCCCACCCCACCCACCTATTCCACAACATGCAGGCCCATCCCATCCCAGCACAGCACAGCACAGCACAACACAACACAGCACACCTAAGCAAACCAAAGCACACCAAAGCACAGCTAAGCAAACCAATGCACAGCTAAGCAAACCAATGCACGGCTAAGCAAACCGATGCACGGCTAAGCAAACCAATGCACGGCTAAGCAAACCAATGCACGGCTAAGCAAACCAATGCACGGCTAAGCAAACCAATGCACGGCTAAGGACAGTGACGGTCCATCTTGAGCTCCTGGCTGTCCACCGCCATGCAGCAGCCCAGATGTCCTCTACCTCGCCCTGCACTTCACCACAGACGATTTTTTAGGCGCCTAAAAAATCCTCTTGGTTGTCCACCGCCATTCGGCAGCCCAGCCCAGATGTCCTCTACCTCGCCCTGCACTTCAGCACAGAAGAGCCACCTCTGAGCTGCCAACGGGACAGCACCGGGACATGGAAGAAAGCAGAGGCGAGAGAAGAGAGAGCCACTTAGAAGCTGCAAAAGCGCTCATCACGACAGAAGTGAAGCTGATTAATTTAAAGGGCACAAAATAGTTGTGTATCATGTTCATGCCAGATCGACACAGTAAAGTAAGCATGAAGTGAGAAACGTACCTACCCCAGAGATAGCCATTAGCAAGGCCAGCAACTCCCCCTTTCAGAATCTCCCATCACACTTACCATGTAGCATACACAGCACCGATGTTGCTGCCACTGCTTCCACCACAATTGCTGCCAGGGACAGCCATGGGACATGGAGAGGGGAGAAAGCAAGAGAGCCATAGCATCAGGATACAGAAAGATGAGAGAAGGAGCAACACAAGTAGACGGACAAAGGGAGAGAGATGGAGATCAGGTGACCATAATAATAGGACACAAAAAGAAAGGAGGACGAGCAACATGAGGACGCGCAACATGAGGACGAGCAACATGAGGACGCGCAACATGAGGACGCGCAACATGAGGACGCGCAACATGAGGACGCGCAACATGAGGACGAGCAACATGAGGACGCGCAACATGAGGACGAGCAACATGAGGACGCGCAACATGAGGACGCGCAACATGAGGACGAGCAACATGAGGACGAGCAACATGAGGACGCGCAACATGAGGACGCGCAACATGAGGACGAGCAACATGAGGACGCGCAACATGAGGACGAGCAACATGAGGACGCGCAACATGAGGACGCGCAACATGAGGACGAGCAACATGAGGACGAGCAACATGAGGACGCGCAACATGAGGACGCGCAACATGAGGACGCGCAACATGAGGACGCGCAACATGAGGACGCGCAACATGAGGACGAGCAACATGAGGACGCGCAACATGAGGACGCGCAACATGAGGACGCGCAACATGAGGACGAGCAACATGAGGACGCGCAACATGAGGACGCGCAACATGAGGACGAGCAACATGAGGACGCGCAACATGAGGACGAGCAACATGAGGACGAGCAACATGAGGACGAGCAACATGAGGACGAGCAACATGAGGACGCGCAACATGAGGACGCGCAACATGAGGACGAGCAACATGAGGACGCGCAACATGAGGACGCGCAACATGAGGACGCGCAACATGAGGACGAGCAACATGAGGACGCGCAACATGAGGACGAGCAACATGAGGACGCGCAACATGAGGACGCGCAACATGAGGACGCGCAACATGAGGACGCGCAACATGAGGACGCGCAACATGAGGACGAGCAACATGAGGACGAGCAACATGAGGACGAGCAACATGAGGACGCGCAACATGAGGACGCGCAACATGAGGACGCGCAACATGAGGACGAGCAACATGAGGACGAGCAACATGAGGACGCGCAACATGAGGACGCGCAACATGAGGACGAGCAACATGAGGACGCGCAACATGAGGACGCGCAACATGAGGACGAGCAACATGAGGACGAGCAACATGAGGACGCGCAACATGAGGACGAGCAACATGAGGACGCGCAACATGAGGACGCGCAACATGAGGACGCGCAACATGAGGACGCGCAACATGAGGACGCGCAACATGAGGACGAGCAACATGAGGACGAGCAACATGAGGACGAGCAACATGAGGACGAGCAACATGAGGACGCGCAACATGAGGACGAGCAACATGAGGACGCGCAACATGAGGACGAGCAACATGTGGACGCGCAACATGAGGACGCGCAACATGAGGACGCGCAACATGAGGACGAGCAACATGAGGACGCGCAACATGAGGACGAGCAACATGAGGACGCGCAACATGAGGACGAGCAACATGAGGACGCGCAACATGAGGACGCGCAACATGAGGACGCGCAACATGAGGACGCGCAACATGAGGACGAGCAACATGAGGACGCGCAACATGAGGACGAGCAACATGAGGACGCGCAACATGAGGACGCGCAACATGAGGACGCGCAACATGAGGACGAGCAACATGAGGACGCGCAACATGAGGACGAGCAACATGAGGACGCGCAACATGAGGACGAGCAACATGAGGACGCGCAGGACGCGCAACATGAGGACGCGCAACATGAGGACGCGCAACATGAGGACGAGCAACATGAGGACGCGCAACATGAGGACGAGCAACATGAGGACGCGCAACATGAGGACGCGCAACATGAGGACGCGCAACATGAGGACGAGCAACATGAGGACGCGCAACATGAGGACGAGCAACATGAGGACGAGCAACATGAGGACGCGCAACATGAGGACGCGCAACATGAGGACGAGCAACATGAGGACGAGCAACATGAGGACGCGCAACATGAGGACGCGCAACATGAGGACGAGCAACATGAGGACGAGCAACATGAGGACGCGCAACATGAGGACGCGCAACATGAGGACGAGCAACATGAGGACGCGCAACATGAGGACGCGCAACATGAGGACGCGCAACATGAGGACGCGCAACATGAGGACGCGCAACATGAGGACGCGCAACATGAGGACGAGCAACATGAGGACGCGCAACATGAGGACGAGCAACATGAGGACGCGCAACATGAGGACGCGCAACATGAGGACGCGCAACATGAGGACGCGCAACATGAGGACGCGCAACATGAGGACGAGCAACATGAGGACGCGCAACATGAGGACGCGCAACATGAGGACGCGCAACATGAGGACGCGCAACATGAGGACGCGCAACATGAGGACGCGCAACATGAGGACGCGCAACATGAGGACGAGCAACATGAGGACGCGCAACATGAGGACGCGCAACATGAGGACGCGCAACATGAGGACGCGCAACATGAGGACGCGCAACATGAGGACGAGCAACATGAGGACGCGCAACATGAGGACGAGCAACATGAGGACGCGCAACATGAGGACGAGCAACATGAGGACGCGCAACATGAGGACGAGCAACATGAGGACGCGCAACATGAGGACGAGCAACATGAGGACGCGCAACATGAGGACGAGCAACATGAGGACGCGCAACATGAGGACGAGCAACATGAGGACGCGCAACATGAGGACGCGCAACATGAGGACGAGCAACATGAGGACGCGCAACATGAGGACGAGCAACATGAGGACGCGCAACATGAGGACGCGCAACATGAGGACGCGCAACATGAGGACGAGCAACATGAGGACGCGCAACATGAGGACGCGCAACATGAGGACGCGCAACATGAGGACGCGCAACATGAGGACGCGCAACATGAGGACGCGCAACATGAGGACGCGCAACATGAGGACGAGCAACATGAGGACGAGCAACATGAGGACGAGCAACATGAGGACGCGCAACATGAGGACGCGCAACATGAGGACGCGCAACATGAGGACGAGCAACATGAGGACGAGCAACATGAGGACGCGCAACATGAGGACGCGCAACATGAGGACGAGCAACATGAGGACGCGCAACATGAGGACGCGCAACATGAGGACGAGCAACATGAGGACGAGCAACATGAGGACGCGCAACATGAGGACGAGCAACATGAGGACGCGCAACATGAGGACGCGCAACATGAGGACGCGCAACATGAGGACGCGCAACATGAGGACGAGCAACATGAGGACGAGCAACATGAGGACGAGCAACATGAGGACGAGCAACATGAGGACGCGCAACATGAGGACGAGCAACATGAGGACGCGCAACATGAGGACGAGCAACATGTGGACGCGCAACATGAGGACGCGCAACATGAGGACGCGCAACATGAGGACGAGCAACATGAGGACGCGCAACATGAGGACGAGCAACATGAGGACGCGCAACATGAGGACGAGCAACATGAGGACGCGCAACATGAGGACGCGCAACATGAGGACGCGCAACATGAGGACGCGCAACATGAGGACGAGCAACATGAGGACGCGCAACATGAGGACGAGCAACATGAGGACGCGCAACATGAGGACGCGCAACATGAGGACGCGCAACATGAGGACGAGCAACATGAGGACGCGCAACATGAGGACGAGCAACATGAGGACGAGCAACATGAGGACGCGCAACATGAGGACGCGCAACATGAGGACGAGCAACATGAGGACGAGCAACATGAGGACGCGCAACATGAGGACGCGCAACATGAGGACGAGCAACATGAGGACGAGCAACATGAGGACGCGCAACATGAGGACGCGCAACATGAGGACGCGCAACATGAGGACGAGCAACATGAGGACGCGCAACATGAGGACGAGCAACATGAGGACGAGCAACATGAGGACGCGCAACATGAGGACGCGCAACATGAGGACGAGCAACATGAGGACGCGCAACATGAGGAGAAGGATGAAGGGAGACGCGTAAGACATCAAAGCAAAAATAACCACGCAAGCGCTTTGAAAAAAACAACACTTTAAGGGAAATCGGAAGCAGTAGAGTAAGGTGTACTCACCCTTCTATAGCTACAGCCGCAACCACTGCAGTGGCCATGGATGCTCCAACTGCTTCTGCCACCATTGCTGGTGCTGCTGCCACCGATGCTGGCCGTGCTGCTGGTGCTGGGTGAAAGGTGCTGCTGGTGCTGGGTGAAAGGTGCTGCTGGTGCTGGGTGAAAGGTGCAGCTCTGCAGGCCGTGGAAGAGAGGAGAGCAGAGAAGAGAAGATGGCCGGAGAGGAAGGATTTGATAGCTGAGGACAGTGACATGAACATCAGACAAGTAACACAGTAATGGGCACCTGTGTGGCAAGAAGGTAGACAAGACAGAACTGCATCAGAGAAAGCAGGAATATGGAGAATGGAATAGCGAACTGCATCAGATCAATGGTATACTCATTGATCTGGTCCACTCACAAGTCCGTGTGTGCTTCCCATCATCCTGCAGTTGCTGCAGCCACTGGTGATCCCTGAGTCGCTGCAGCCTTGAGTGTTGGAGGTGAGGGGAGGAAGGATGGGAAGGATGAGCAAGGAGAGGAGAAGCGAGTGGATGAGAGGCTGAGGATGTGGAAGAACATTGACATGCCAGAGGAGATGGCAGATGACAGCTGGAAAGGGGACTGAGACAAAAGGCAACGGAGAATGCATTCTCTCTGCTGCTGCATCCTCACTCTGGTTACCTCTTGTCTTGAAGAAGCAAGCAACGGATGTTGTCCCCATCCCACCGGCCCACAGGCAAGTTCTCAAAGCACAACGCACTCCACGGCTTGGAGCCTGAGAGACACACTCACAGGCATGCACACGCACCACCCCCCCAACCCACCCCCTACTCTCCCCCTCCCAACCCCCCCCATCCACCCCTCCCCCCACCTCCTCACAATCACAGGGAGAGAAAACACACACACAGAAGCGGCAAGGGAGGGTTAGGAGCAACAGGAGAGGAGGCGAGTGACAGAAACAAGAACAAGAGACATGACTCTTGCCTCTGCGCGGTGACTCACTTCACGGCCCTCCTGCAAGCACCCCCTGGCACATACCACGTTCCCTCGCTGCTCTCCCAGTTTTGCGCCACACCTTCACTTGAGGCGTCCCCGTGCTGCCATTGCTCTCCGTCTCACAGGCCACAATGCACACACACACACACACGGGGAGAGAGAGAGACACACACACGGGGAGAGAGAGAGAGATACACACACAGAAGAGGGTTAGAAGCAGCAGGTGGCGAGTGGTGGACCCACAAGCAACAGACACGACTCTTGCCTCTGCGCGGCGACACCCTATGACAGTTCACGGCCCCCCTGCAAGCACTCCCTGGCACGTACCATGCTCCTCCATCAGCCGCTTTGCCACTCAGCCGTCTAGCCTCCTGCACCACGCCTGTGTGCCGCTCCAGGCTGCTCGGTTGCTGCTGCGCCAAGCCTTCGCCCCAAGCAGCACCCTGTTGCTGCCCGTGCTCCAGCCTCCATGCGTGCTGCTCCAGGTTGCTCGTAGTCCGCTGCTGCTACTGCAGTTGTTGCTCTCGTTGCGTCCACAAGCATGGGGAGAGAGAAATCACACAGAAGCAGTGCAACAAGGGAGGGTTAGGAGCAGCAGTAGAGAAGGCTAGTGGCAAAGACAAGAACAAGACATGACAGTTGCCTCTGCGCGGCGACTCACTTCACCGCCCCCCTGCAAGCACCCCCTGGCACATACCACTCCTGCACCATGCCTTCACTTCAGGCGTGCTGCTCCAGGTTGCTCCCCTTTCTCCCCTTTCTCCTCGCAGGACGGTCGTCTCTCATGCGAGCCAGCAACGGCAGCCGATTCCCCGTCCACTCGCTGCCATTCCCGTCCGCCTCGCAGGCCATGAGGCACAGACACGCACGGAAGGGACGGGGAGAGGGACACGCACACACACAGAGGCGGTGCAACAAGTGATGGTCAGAAGCAGCAGGAGGCGAGTGGCGGAAGCAAGGGCAACAGACACGACTCTTGCCTCTGCGCGGCGACACCCTACGACTCACTTCACGGCCCCCCTGCAAGCACCCCCTGGCACATACCATGCTCCAGCTGAATGTTTTCCCCTACTTGGCAAAATCTGCAGCTCCTTCAGCCCAAGAAGCACCCTGTTGCGGCCCGTGCTCCAGGCTCCAAGCGTGCTGCTCCATGATGCTCGTGGTGTGCTGTTGATACCTGCAACAGGAGGGGTCTGTGGCTTCTGAGTTGAGCCAGTGGCGATATTTCAAGGAGAAAACAGTGAAGCACACGCAATACAAGTGATAAGCCCTTGGCATCACAAAAGACAATGCAATCGGAGGAGAAAATACTTGGCTGAAGAAACAAGCGCCGTCGCTACTGCTGCTACGACTCACCAGCGTTGCTGTTGTGTCTTCGCACCAGTGCAGGAACGGAGCCCACAAGCTTGTCACCCCCCCGTCCACTCCCTGCCATTCCCCTCCGTCTCACAGGCCGTGAAGCACAGACACGCGAGGGGAGAGACGCACACAGACAGAAACAGAGCAACAAGGGAGGGTTACACGCTGCAGGAGGGGAGGCGAATGGTGGAGGGAAACGGAAACAGACACGACTCTTGCCTCTGCGCAGCGACGCCCTACGACTCACTTCACGCACCCCCTGCAAGCACCCCCTAGCACGTACCACACTCCGTCCGCCGCTCTCCCACTCCTGCGCCAAGCCTTCACTTCACACGTGCTGCTCCTCGTTGTCTCTCGTGCGAGCCAGCACGGAAATCCCGTCCGTTCCCCGTCCACTTGCTGCCATTCCCATCCGTCTTCCCCACGAGGCGCACACACACAGGGGGAGAGGCAGCCACAAAGAAAGTATGAAACAAGAGAGGGTTAGAAACAGCAACAGGAGAGTGGTGGAGGCAAGGACGAAAGACACGATTCTTGCCTCTGCACGGCGACGCTCTATGACTCACTACACTACCCCCCTGCAAGCACCCCCTGGCACATACCACGCGACCGCCACTGTGTCCCTGCCTTGTGACGAGCCACTGTGCCGTTGCTGACCCTTCTCCTCGCTGCACGGTTGTCTCTCGTGCGAGCCAGCAACGAAAGCCCTGTCCACTCCGCGCCAATCCGCGTCCATTCCGTGTCATTCCGCGTCCATTCCGCGTCATTCCACGTCCAATCCGCGCCATTCCGCGTCCATTCCGTGCCATTTCCCTCCGTCTCACAGGCCGTAAGGCACACACACGCATGGGGAGAGAGACGCACACAAAAACGGCGCAACAAGGGAGAGTTAGAAGCAGGAGGAAAGTATGCGAATGGTAAAGGCAAGGAAAACAGACGACTATTGCCTCTGCGCGGCGACGCTCTACGCTACTTTAATGCCACCCCGCAAGCACCCCCTGGCACGCACCATGCTCCGCCCACCACTCCTGCGCCCCGTCTTCACTTCAGGCGAGCCAGCAACGGAAGTCCTGTCCATTCCGCGTCCACTCCGCGCCATTCCGCGCCCACCTCGCAGGCCGTGAGGCACACACAAGCATGGGGAGAGAAAGCACGCACACACAAGCGGCGCAATAGGAAGGGTTAGAAGCAACACGAGAGGAAGCGAGCGGCAAAGACAAGAACAAGAGACACGACTCTTGCCTCTGTGCGGCGACGCTCTACGACTCAACCCACTACCCCCCTGCAAGCACCCTCTGGCACGTACCACGTTCTGTTCGCCACTCCTGCGCCTCGCCTTCACTTCAGGCGTGCTGCTCTTGGTTGCTCGGTTGCTGCTGTTGCTGCTGCAGTCGTTGCTATCGTCGCGACCGCTACCTCGTCGCCACCTATGATCGCGCAAATAGTAGCGACGTTGCTTTGCTGATGGAAACAGTAGCAACGCTGCTCTGACGGCGGAAACGACAGTATAACGGAAGCAGCGGCAGCGCCGTTCTGACGGCGGGAATAGCAGCGACCTTGCTTCGACGACGGAAACAGCAGCACGTCGCTTGACGGCGGAAACAACCATCCCGGCGGAAATAGCAGCGACTTGGCTTCGATGAAGGCGGAAGCAGCAGGGACGTCGCTTCGACTTCGGAAATAGCAGCAACGTTGCAATGACGGCGAAAACAGCGTCGCCGTCGATTTGACGGCGAAAACGTCAGATATGTTTTGTAGGCGCCGGAAACCGCAGCTGAAGTCCTTTTGACGGCAGGAACAACAGTGACGTCGCTTTACCGGCGGAAGCAGCAGGGCGGCTATTGCAACGAAGACGTCGCTTTTCACACGGCTGGACCTGGAGGTCGGGGCGGAGATAAGGAAACGGCGGACCTGACTGCAAGATAGTGCAAGTGGAGCAAGGGAAGCGAGGAATGGAGTCGAGAGGAGATCAGTGAATTCCGCCGAGGAGCTCCCTCCTCTCTCTCAACAACCAGTGAGAAACCAAGGGAACATCCACCCCACTGTCTGAGAGTGGCTGAATTTCCCATGTGAGGGAGGGAGCAGAAAGGAAGCTCGAAACGACGCGGCGAGGTTCAGATCATCAAAGAGCAGCGGGGATTGGCTGCCGAGGCTGTGGCAGAGGTTCAATTTGAAAACTTTGGAGGGAAACTGAAGCCTCGGTGCGAACAGACGAGACCTGGATGGAAGAGAAAGGGAGATAAAAAGTTCACTGAACAAAGTGTGGATGTGGCAATGTTATGTGTAATACTGATCAACATAAGTGGGGTTTTGAAACTAGCTATCTAGGAAAGTGATTTAAATACATTAGTGACACATACAAATATTCATACAGAAGTAATACTACGATACTCTGCAAAAAAAATCAAATAACCTTGTGATTTTGCAAAATAAGATGCAGCATAGCAAGGTATCATAGCTCTACGACGGTGCTGATCCCCGACTGTTCAATCGAGAGAGCTTGCTATGTGTCCTACACCTCTTCTCCTAAAATTGTTTTCCCTCCTTATAAAAGCTTGCCAAATAGGCCATACAGCTCCCCTCTACTATACCCTCGATTCCCTCTCCATGCAGTCTTGCCCGTCTTCCATCATGCTTGCTCCACTTGCGTCCAGCGATTGTCAGCCTGCAGATGGCATGATGCCCTGCCACACCATGACACACGATGCCATGCCACACCATGCCATGCCACACCATAACATGCCACACCACGGCACCAACCATGACATGTAATGTTAAGGAATGCCACACCATGCCAAGGGGTTTCAGCCCCTTCCGCTCTCACTCACCCAGCCAAGGCGTTTCAGCCTATTTTGTTTTCACTTAACCACCCAAGGGGTTTCAGTCCCCATCCCACTCACCCACCCAAGGAGTTTCGAAACCCACTCACTCATGTCAGAATATTATGTTTCTCTAGTCTGCAGTGGGGTACTCTGTAGTGAGTACAACCCTGTTAGGGTTTGCTACATGTATCCCAATGCTTTCTAGTGCAATCATCCCTTTCTCACCTAACTTTTTTCGTCAATCATTCTCACAACTCAATCAGGGAGTTTCATCCACATTCCCTCCCACTCACCCACCCAAGGGGATTCAAACC